AATAGAAAATATTACTGAATATGTCATAATATTGAATGAATTCTATTGGGGACGGGAAATGCTATCAGACACAAGTTTCAAAATCGATTAAGAGATGTTTCAATAGCTTACCTTTATCAAAACTATTTTTCTAACGTTCAATACACAGAATTCTTTCTGTAACAAAATGAAAATCACATCAGCTACATCATCTAGCACGTGCAGCATTGATCAATAGAATTAACATGTGGTCAAAGGGGGTATACTTTTAATAATATTGTAGTCCGTAATAAAGACTATATTGTGTGCTGCTCATTATTTAAGCCAGTTGGTAGTCAATTTTATTTTTAAATATTCCAATATTGAAAAGCCTTGTCTTACCAACTTAATAAACAATTATAAGCGAACAAGCTCCAGTCTTTTATTCTAATTTGATCAGTTTCGACCAGGTGCCCTCGATGTTTGGCTTGGCAATATCTCACAGCTAAACAACTTTGTAGTATTATTTTTAGTAAAAGTAAAGGTCAATCCATTGAATGAATAAATTCAAATGATATATCGAGGTAAAATGCCCCTATTGCACACTGCAAGATTTCATCCCTATTAATTAGTCCAGAATGTGCCGATTAATGGTTAAGTCTAAAAAAAAACTACCTGTAAAATGTGTATGTGTGTCAATTTGTAGGCTGATGCAATTCATTAAATGGCTATTTTCGTTTGGGTATATTTTTTTCAATTAACAAACAATTGGATGAATGAATATTTGTACAATTTTTAAGTTGTTTCGAACGCTGCGAGTCCTATACTGGATTATCTCTTAACGTATTGGAAGTAAGCAGTAGTCGATATTTACCACGTATGAATTAATTTATTTCAACCGATTTCGTTCTGCAATAAAATTGAGGATCGTTCTTAGAAAACTCAAAACATAAACAAAGACAGTACATTTTAAGTTTAAGTAACAATCAAGCTTATAGAGCTGAAACTAATCATCAATTTTATAGAAAACCAAAATAGACCAGTCAGTTTAGAAGATTTAAGCCTAAAAATCATACTTTGGTTCAAACATGTTTTCAATGACCAATGAATTACTATAATCCTACTAACTACCATTATGGGGAGGCTTTTTTAAATCATGTGATAGAACGAAATATTTAACAGTTAGTGAGCTACCAACGGTCATTTCAGAAAAGTTTGAATTGACCAGACGAGGTACCGTTCAAAACTACATTTCAAACATCAATCAAGAGCAATGTTATCGACAGAACTTACTTGTGGTCAAGTAGAACCGGATTGAAGCACTGAGCACAGCAAAACAAATATGACTAAATATTCAACATATTGCATAAAATTTGCACCATTTGGGTGTTGTGTTGAAGGAACACATCCATTCAACAAGAAGTTTATTAACAGACTAACATACAAAGCAAGGAACACTTGTCATGCAACTCAGGGTACTACAAAGTTACACAATATTGTAGGGATATGATTTTGGCCTGGGTGATATACCATAGTAAGATATTTCATGGTAATAATGTATGGACATAACATCACTCCACACTAAACTAAAAGTTACAACATACTAATATCATACTTCAAAGAAAATGTCATGATTAACTAAATATTACACTGTATAACTAATACATTCACCGTCACATTAGAAATAATAACTTTTTATAATACTTTAATATAAATAATTTCAATTTAATCTTTTACATATTAACTATAAATCTGCCAGGTGGTTTTCGAATTTTTTCAGATCTTCGGGTAATATTCTGATTTTTAACAGATGACTTAACAATATTAGGTTTAAAATAATTTGATACATTAGAATCAGGAATGTTTTTATTATCTATTGGAACTTCATTTTCACTTTTTCAACTTTAGTTTTAACATCTAAATCAACATCTGAATTAGGAATAGGGTCAATCTTATCAGATGATTTATGCTCATGTGTTTCCATGAGATGATCAACATGCACTTGGACGTTTACGATATCCTATTTTAAGTGAATATCTGACAGCACTTAAATATGGGTTCCCTTATTTTCATTTATGAAAATGAAAATGCTAATACTTGTATGAATAGAAAGTAGAGGTGTTCTAATGACTTTGAAAAATATCAGTTTGTCCCACATGTCCATAATTAATACACAATTAGCTAAATTAGAAGAGAATTATGAGCAGAGTTTCAATGAGCGACCGATCAAGAAAGGTCAAAAAGTCCTTTTTTTTGTTTATCCAGACTGTACATACATGGGCATTAAAGATTGGTTAAAACTCTTAATCATATGCAATAAGAACATAATGATATGATTAGGAATACATGATAATTCATCAGAAACACCAATTAATCAAATAATTTGACACTAAAAAATAAGGAAACCCATCTTTAAACACTTTACTATTCTACCATAATACCATTTAGGATAAGTACTAACAACATTTAAAATTCTTACTTTCTCACCTTCAACAAATTGTCTGACCTTGCGATTAACATTTCTTTTAGCAATTTCATCATTTTGCTTAGACTCTACTCTTTGTTGAATATCGGCAAAATCTTTTCCATACAGTTCTGGGGACATCCATACGAATCAAAGAAATCACAATGGTTTTCTTCACACACAAACGCGGTCCAATGTTTTCCAGGCTGGTTTTCGTCATCGGTGTTAACGACGTATGCCATGGGATAGCGGTTTGGTTTTAACGTTTGTAATTGATTTCTAGCCAGGACACCGCCAAATTGTTCAGGGATATGACAACTCAATCCTTCCTCCAACTGTGCAGGTTTACCAATCCACATAAATTTGGCGGTTGACGTCGATTTCCAAGACATTGTCGTATTCAGCAAACAATAGCAAATTAAGTGGATTCGGTGGAGCGTTTTCGAATCTCAATTCCAAAGACACACTTCCAGACGACTTGGGGTGAAAATTGACTTGATCTGCTCCGTGGTCATTGGTTAAATCAAAACCAAAAAGAGTGTAGCCTTTAATATAGTCGTTGTAAGACATATCCAAATCTTCTTTGCTGTTGAGTATTCCAACTCTTTTCATCAAATCTAAATACGGTGTTGTGGCTTGTTTGTTAGGAAGATCCATGAAATATTCTTCCACCACATCGCCATTTTTCATCAGTTTGATGTATTCTAGTCGATGATGATGGTACTTGAATGGATTCTTGATGGAATTGCCGTCGTAAGAATCGTTCTCCACCAAACCCAAAATGAGACGTTTAGGCAAGACTTCGTTGATGAATAAATTATCCAAAACGTGAAAACGTCGACGACTTGGTATTCTGATGTCTTTGACGACTACTCGCTTGAGTGGATATTTGGCGTTGTTCGATTGTAGTTGTTCAGCAATGCGCGTGTAGGTTGATGGTGCCAACGTAACAAAAGGTACTTCCAAATAGGCTTTGATCAATTCCACTTTGTACGTTTCATTGTTTTCGTTCCACATCAAATAAAATTTTGGTTGTTGTCTTTCCAACTGGATGCGAACATCCACACCATCTATTAAATAACGATCTTGTAAACACAAATCCACATGTAGTCGGGACTGCAATTCAAACTCTGAACTTTCACCCATCTTTTTTCTTCTTTCTCCCAAACCATGGTTAACAACGGGTACGATGGCATCACCAGTAAACATATCAAAGGCCATATCCACAGCAGGCTGAAAGGGAGCAGTAATTTTGGCATCGCGGATGTTTCGTCGACATAATTTATCCAACTGAAATTCTTGCGAAAAGTCAGGCCATCCTAACATACCAACCATGGGTCCTTCAATTTGGAAACTGATTGCGGGTAACATATGTAGAAAGTTGATGGCATCTGAAGAGTCGAAAGATAAATATATTCTTTGGTTTAATGAATCCAATTTAAAGGTTGCATAGGGTTGTTTTTCGGCTTGATTGGATAATTTCATACGATTTTCGTACTCTTCTTGTTCGCTTTTTTCCAGGGGTGTCAATTCTTTGATGTTGGGATCCAATCGAAATGGTTTTCGATGAATGATTTCTTGTATTTCATTGCATTTCCATAATCCATGCATGGTCACGTTCAATACATTTAGCAACTGTTCCACATTTCTGTAAGTGTTGGTTTCCATATGCGTTTCCACTTCAGTCGAACCTTCATCATTGTTAAGAACGAGGTTCCAACCATTTGTCACTCACATACTTGATGGTTTCCATTCCTGGAACAATTTTCCATGGAAAAACTTTCAGTCTGAGTTTGTTGTCATCCTCCGTAGTTGTTGGGAAGGTCAAGGCTGCCAGACCTACTTCCCATTCTTGGTGATTAAAATGAATGGGGGGAGTTAAATGAGTGCGATACGTCGAAAGGCTGTTGTCCGGAAACATTCCAATGGAACTGTCACTAGGCAGGGTGAGATAAAAATCGTTCATTTTTCTTCAGTTGGGGTGATGGCAGTAAATAACCCAAACTACTGGATAACAAAGCCGTCCACAACGTGGTTTGAGGTCCTTCGGGTTTCAGAGCGAGTTGCGACAACGCAATACCCGCGACAATGTAGACCAATATCACTTGACAGAAAAATACAATTTCAGCCTGAGGCACACGACTTCCTAAACACGCCCAGGATTTGGATCGAATCGATGTTGTCGATGTGGATTCGTCTTGCATGATGTATCTCGCCTGTAGTTGGTTACTTCTATTTATACTCCACGGTCGATTCAGGAATCCAGGAATTGAAACTAGCAGGGTAATCTTTCCATTTGACGAGTACGCTTTTACCTCGTCGTTCTATGATTTTTTCAATCACGTAAGCCTTGTCTTTGTCTTCTTTCACTTCTTGCAATTCTTCGGGATAAAACGATCCTTCCAACATTTCACCGTTTCCATCAATTAATCTATAACGGGATCCTACACTGGGTTTGACTTGAAAAGTTTCCAAAGTCCAATTTGGCCAGTATCCCTTATCAAAAGCTTTCTGTTTGTCGAGGGCTAACCGTACCGTTGATGTAATGTCGCGTTTTTTCTTGGATGTTTCCCGAGGCAATCGTTGACTAACCAACCATTCGTTTTGAACAGTGACATCTTTAGGTGCCATTCCAATAGTGCGATGCACGGCTGCATTGTAACCTTCTACGAACTTGTCCAAAACATCAATGTAACGTTCCGTTTTCTTGTAGTGAAATATCGCCACATTCGTTACTTTAAGGTACGTTGAAATCTCTCCACCACACGGCT